GAGAAGAGAATGTAAGGCTAAGAGAAGGAGAAGAGAATGTAAGGCTAAGATAAGGAGAAGAGAATGTAAGGCTAAGAGAAGGAGAAGAGAATGTAAGACTAAGAGAAAGATAAGAGAATGCAAGACTAAGAGAAGGAGGAGAGAATGTAAGGCTAAGAGAAGGATAAGAGAATGTAAGACTAAGAGAAGGATAAGAGGATGTAAGAATAAGAGAAGGAGAAGAGAATGTAAGACTAAGAGAACGAGAAGATAATGTAAGGCTAAGAGAAGGAGAAGAGAATGTAAGACTAAGAGAAGGACAAGAGAATGCAAGACTAAGAGAAGGAGAAGAGAATGTAAGGCTAAGAGAAGGAGAAGAGAATGTAAGGATAAGAGAAGGAAAAGAGAATGAAAGGCTAAGAGAAGGAGAAGAGAATGTAAGGCTAAGAGAAGGAGAAGATAATGTGAGGCTAAGATAAGGACAAGAGAATGTAAGACTAAGAGAAGGAGAAGAGAATGGCAGATAGTGGAAACAATTCAATTTCCTTGTATCCCAGAGGAACATAGAAAACTGAATTTATAATATTACTTTGGCTCTAGGGGGCTCTAGAGGCACTGGATCATTGGTGTGAGAATACCAGAACTAAAGGGTATACCAGAATACTAGAAATAGAAGATGTACCAGAATACTAGAACAAAAGGGTAAACCAGAATACCTAGAGGGTATACCAGAATTCTAGAATACTAGAAAAAGAGGATGTATCAGAATACTAGAACTAGAGTGTATATCAGAATACTAGAATACTAGAAAAAGAGGATGTACCAGAAAACTGTCTTTCATTCGTGCTGTCTACCTGTATTTCTATTTGTCTAAATGCCACTTTTTCCATCCGCCTGTTTTTTATTGAAATATCTTTCTGTCTGTCTGCCTGTCATTTTATATGTCTGTCTTTCTATTTGTCTGTCTTTATAACTATCTATCTATGAATGATATCCCTGAAACTGCTCTGTCTCGTTCTCGACGAAGTTTATCACAATGGGTCTTAATGGATTCTCTCTCCAGGACAACCTAAATATATGACAAGGATTAAAGGGATTGTCCTCTGGATATATGACAGGGATTAAAGGGATTGTCCCCTGAATATATATGACAGGGATTAAAGAGATTGTCCGCTGAATATATGAAAGGGATTGTCCTCTGGATATATGACAGGGATTAAAGAGATTGTCCCCTGAATATTTGACAGGGATTAAAGAGATTGTCCCCTGAATATAGGACAGGGATTAAAGGGATTGTCCCCTAAATATATGACAGGGATTAAAGGGATTGTCCCCTGAATATATGACAGGGATTAAAGGGATTGTCCCCTGAATATATGACAGGGATTAAAGGGGGTTGTCCCCTGATTATATGACAGGGATTAAAGGGGGTTGTCCCCTGAATATATGACAGGGATTAAAGGGGGTTTTCCCCTGAATATATGACAGGGATTAAAGGGGGTTGTCCCCTAAATATGTGACAGGGATTAAAGGGATTATCCCCTGAATATATGAAAGAAATTGTCCCCTGAATATAAGACAGGGATTAAAGGGATTGTCCCCTGAATATAAGACAGGGATTAAAATTACACCCCTGAACATATGACATAGAGTGAAGGGATAGCCCCCTGAATATATGACGGGGATTAAAGGAATTGTCCCCTGAATATATGACAGGGATTAAAGGGATTGCCGCCTGAATATAAGACAGGGATTAAAATTACACCCCTGAACATATGACATAGAGTGAAGGGATAGCCCCCTGAATATATGACGGGGATTAAAGGGATTGTCCCCTGAATATATGACAGGGATTAAAGAGATTGTCCCCTGAATATATGACAGGGATTAAAGGGATTGCCGCCTGAATATATGACAGGGATTAAAGGGATTGCCCCCTGAATATATGACAGGGATTAAAGGGATTGTCCCCTGAATATATGACAGGGATTAAAGGGATTGTCCCCTGAATAAATGACAGGGATTGAAGGGATAGCCCCCCTGAATACCTTATCTCTCTCTGAGCTGACAAAATCCCGTCTTCCCTTGGCAACATCAGCCTCCAGGCTAGCGTCTAGAATATATATACTGTGAGAACCAGATAACAATGGAAAAGGAATACGACATTAAAGCAATTATTGTTATTTGATGTTGTTACACAGAAAATAGTTTTACTACGGTGTTAGGCGATTATATCAATATTATGAAAACGACTTTTTCATGTTTTCATTGTTAACAAGCTTTTTTCGAATTAAAAGTTTCCAAGCATTAAAAGAGAAACTTTTTTTATTTGACAGGTTCTCTTTGTTTCCATGTTTTGTGTATCCATGCTGTAAGCTTGATATGAAGCAAAAGTCGTCTTCATTATATTAATATAATCGCCTACCTCCATAGTAACTTATTTACACAATAATTAGGTTTAATTGTCTGTTTACACTGCACAATTTCCGTGTCACATGTTCGTTAGAATATGAAAAGTCAGGAATTGTGTATAAAGGTCGTATTCCTATTCCAGACATTTGTAATGAAAGGTAATTCAAATAATTTTCTTTTAATAAGAAAAATCGATTCCGAACCAACAAGAATTCTCAGTAAAAATGATAATGAAAAGTTGAACTAAAATTAAAACATTTTTAGAAACGCAATTTTGATTTTAATTTAATGAGAAACAAAACCCAATTAATTTTTTTTAGATCATTCTTTGTAAATTAATAATTAAGAGGAATTTTATCTAGTTCATACACAATAATTTTCACCCCCCCCCCCCCTCCCCTGATTTAGGTTTATTAATTTATAAAGAGAATGTCTCTGAATTTTGAGCTTTTGAAGGAAATATAAATGAGAAGGAAAAAGTTAAAAGCTTAAAAGTTAAAAATTTGGAAAAATATTTACATGTTAGCTTTGGCTGCTGGGATTTTTCTCTTTCAAAAATAAAATTTTTTTCTCAAAAATCGAATATACTTTTCTTTAAATTTGAAATCTTTCTTTTCCAAATTGTTTTCATTGTTCAACAAGAAAGACCGAGCATATCAGCTAGCCTTCAATATTCATTTATACTTATATCAAGAAAGAAAAAAATCAAGAAAAACTTAATTTGAAAAATAAAAATAAATCCTGATTTCAGGGAGTAAAGTGGTTATAAGGATCTAGAAACCAGGTTGATTAATTGATTAAAAGGAATCCAGCGGAGCTTAAAACTAAATATTTATAGAAAATTTTGAATCATTTGGTTTTCTAGGTTCAATGTTTTTCGTCATATTGATTGTAATTGTGAAAATGTCGTCTAGTTTAACCAATTTAAAGAATTATTAAAAGTTGTATACAAAAGCTTATGATTTTTTGATATTTTAAAAATGCGCGAAAAAATATTTGAAAATCCGTGATTTTTCTTCTCCATTTATTTCTTATCAAAAGTCGATTTTTAATTTATAGAAAAAAAAATTTAAATTCGGTAAACAAATAATAAACTTGAGTCCTATGTTTATCAAGGCTAACATAAACAGTCTTCGGAGAAATACACGCATGAAAAATGACAAATAAAAAATCTATAAAAAGTATATACTTACATGTTCCTAAACAGGGCAAGGTGCATGCAAACAAACAAATTAGAAAATTAATTTTGATTAAAAAGCTATGAAGTGCAATGCAAGGGTTGTGAAGACACTAAAATAAATAAAATTTGACATGTTAATATAAAAATGAGACATAAGTGAAAATCTAAAACATTTAAATAAAGCAACCTGAGGGATAAATTTTGTTGTCTTTTGGATATTATGCGAGTTTATAATTAAATAGACTACAGTTAATCAAATTCACGGTTTTGTACAATTTCATTTCTTTAATTATCACCATGATTTATTGACAGGCAAAAGATTTTAATTCACGAAAGAGGCCGAGCTTAACCTTCCAATGATTGAACTGATATAATTTCAAGTCGTCTATAAAATCTCAATCTTTGATGGTAAGTTGGTAACCCTACATTTCAACAATGTGAAACTAGAAAAAATGTTAACCAGTGAAAATCTCACGTTGTTCCCCAAACTAAAAAGTTTTCCTAATTACATATTTTTAACATATTTGAACCATATTTGAACATTAATATTTAGTTAATTCAGCATTTTTAGAATATATTCAATACAGAATTATAAATATAACTCTCAGCATATAAATATTAATGTAAGTATAACTTTAAGCGGTTTCCTACATTTAAAGATGGCAGTACCGGATTCACAACGGAAGCTTGAAACCATTATCTGTTCAATAATAAGGAAAAAATAATTTTTTTTCTAGATTTTTATGCTACTAAAATGAGTAAATCGTTTTTGTAAAGAAATCACAATTACAGATAATCAAATTTTATATCTAATTAATACTTGATCAGACAAATCTGTTAACGGTACTGTTGTGAATCGGGTATTGTCATCTTTGCATGGAGGGTCAATTGAAATTACGCTTACAGTCCCTTTAACACCAAAAATATATTTTACTTCATTCAGTAAGTGCAAGAAGGTAATTCCAAACCTGTGCAGTGG